CTCTCTCTCTCTCTCTCTCTCTCTCTCTGTCTCTCTCTCTCTCTCTCTCTCTCTCTCTCTGTCTCTCTCTCTCTCTCTCTCTCTCTCTCTGTCTCTCCCTCCTGTCTCACCCCCTCTCTCACCCCCTCTCTCTCCCTCTCTCTCTCTCTTCCTCCCTCTCTCTTTTTCTGTCTGTCTCCCTTCTCTTTCTCTTCTCTCCTCTCTCTCTCTCTCTCTCTCTCTTCTCTCTCTGTCTTTCTCTCTGTCTCTCTTCTCTCTCCCTCTCTTTCATTTGCTCTCTCTTCTCTCTCTGTCTATCTGTCTCTCTCTCTATCCCTGTCTCACCCTCTCTCTCTCTCTCTCTCTCTCTCCCTTCTCCCCCCCTCTCTTCCCTTCTCTCTTTCTCCCCCTTCTCCTTTCTCTCTATCCCTATCTACCTCCCTCAACTTCTTCTTCACTCCCTCTCTCTCTCTCTCCGCACGTCTCTTGTCTTTCTCTCTGCCTCCCTCTTTCCCTTTCTCTTATACCGCCCTCCCACTATCTCTCTCTCATCCGTCCCTCCATCCCTCTCTCTTTCTGTCTTGCTGGAGGCTGCGTGTGAGAGTCCTGCAGCTGTAAATGTGCGATAAACCACCTGAGGAGTGAACACGTGAACCTCACAGTGAATAAAACAAAGCCGGAGGTGTGAGGAGAATGTGGGATTAGGGTTGTCAAAAGTATCGAAAATCACGTACTAATCGATACTGAAACTAGCATCGAAACTAGATACTGATTTGAGCAGGTATCGGTGCTACAAATCCACATTCAAAACAAAAATAAACCTTTCCTGAGTGCTATTATTTAACGTTTTATTCTCTAAATAAAGAGTGTTTATTATCATCAGAATCGGTATTGAGTAGTATTAAAATCAGTATCGAAATTTTAGTATCGATTATTAATCTGTGTATCATTTGTTCATTTGTTTTTCAAAATTAAACCAAAAATAAGGAAACGAAAAAACAGCTATTTTCTTCATTATTTGTCTCCAAAACCAAAATGAAAAAACGGATAACGATTTGTCGATTTTTTTGTTTAAATGAATAATGGAAAAAAAACATTTCCATGACTTAAATTGCGATGCTGGACTTTTGTGCCATATACGGACTAAAACAGGACTAAAACAGGACTAAAACAGGACTGAGTGCACCCACAAAGACTGATCAGGACTGAGACCAGGACCAGACCGGGATCAGACCAGGACTGAACCAGGACTGATCCCAGGACTATACCAGGACTACACCAAGACTAAACTAGGTCTCAACCAGGTCCCAGTCTCAGTCCCGGTCTCAGTCCTGGTCTGGTCCCGGTCTCAGTCCCGGTCTCAGTCCTGGTCTGGTCCTGGTCTCAGTCCCGGTCTCAGTCCTGGTCTGGTCCTGGTCTCAGTCCCGGTCTCAGTCCCGGTCTCAGTCCTGGTCTGGTCCTGGTCTCAGTCCTGGTCTTAGTCCTGGTCTGGTCCTGGTCTGGTCCTGGTCTGGTCCTGAGCCCAGTCTCAGTCCTGGTCTCAGTCCTGGTCTCAGTCCTGGTCTTAGTCCTGGTCTGGTCCTGGTCCCGGTCTGGTCCCAGTCTTAGTCCTGGTCCTGGTCCCGGTCTGTTCCTGGTCTCAGTCCTGGTCTGGTCCCAGTCTCAGTCCTGGTCTCAGTCCCAGTCTCAGTCCTGGTCTGGTCCCAGTCTCAATCCTGGTCTCAGTCCCAGTCTCAGTCCTGGTCTGGTCCCAGTCTCAGTCCTGGTCTCAGTCCTGGTCTCAGTCCTGGTCTGGTCCCAGTCTCAGTCCTGGTCTCAGTCCTGGTCTCAGTCCTGGTCTCAGTCCTGGTCTTAGTCCTGGTCTGGTTCTGGTCCCGGTCTGGTCCCAGTCTCAGTCCTGGTCCTGGTCCCGGTCTGTTCCTGGTCTCAGTCCTGGTCTGGTCCCAGTCTCAGTCCTGGTCTCTGTCCCAGTCTCAGTCCTGGTCTGGTCCCAGTCTCAGTCCTGGTCTCAGTCCCAGTCTCAGTCCTGGTCTGGTCCCAGTCTCAGTCCTGGTCTCAGTCCCGGTCTCAGTCCTGGTCTCAGTCCTGGTCTGGTCCTGGTCACAGTCCTGGTCCCGGTCTCAGTGCTGTTCTGATCTCAGTCCTAGTCTCATTCTTGGTCTCAGTCCCGGTCTGTTCCCGTTCTCAGTCCTGATCACCTGGCAGTCTATGCGGGCACACCTTCGGGCCCATCCCAACACTTGGTCCTGGTTCAGTCCTGGTTTAGTCCGGGTTCAGTCCGTACACAGCACAAAAGTCCGGCATCGTAGTTTAAATCACTTAAAAGGGAAAAGGTTTTCCGTTTTTTCCATTTTTCATTAAAACACAAAATCAAAAACTGCAAAAACAAATCATTATCCGTTTTTTCATTTTGGTTTTGGAGACAAATAATGAAGAAAACAGTTGTTTTTTCATTTTCTTATTTTTGGTTTTATATTGAAAAACAAATGAACAAATGATACACGGATTATTTGGGTCTGTGTACGATTCGTTCTTTTGAATTCTAATTAAAAACAGAAATGATCAAATGTGAAGACAGTTTGTTATTTAATTTTTCCGTTTTAGAGTCAGACAAAAAAACAGATTTCGACTTCCATTTCCAATATTTAATTTAAAGTTCATATTGATCATTTATTTTGATTTTATTATTATTTAGAATTTATTATTACCATTTATATTTTTTACTCTTTGTCATTATTTTGTGATGTGTGAGTTACTGTGTCCAAATAATTTCCCTTGTGGATCAATAAAGTTTTTCTAAGTCTAAAGTTTATTTCAAAATTCACTCTTAATTAAAATTCAAAAGAACGAATGGTACACAGACTGATTAGGTTTAGGATCTGTTAATTTGTCAAGTTTAGGGCTTTGGGACATGGAACACAAGAGCACGCCGTAAAAAAAATGCCGAACGTTTATAAAGTCTCGTGTTTATATATTGGCTTTGTCCGGATCTCCACAGAATTCCCCACAGCGCTATTTAGAGGTCACGCCATTTCAGCGCTGTCCAAATGTCCTGTGAGTGAAAAAGTAGTGCAATCAAATTTCCCACAATGCACCTTGAGAAATAAAGTCCAGCGACGGTCATTAGGAGGGACAATATTGATACTTTGGAGCCGATGTCGTCAACCAGAGGCACTGCTCTATCTGAAGTTACTCATGTTAGACTTTAATCTGAGTTTTGTTTTAACACAATCTGACCAGAAAGAGCCGTTTTAGTTGAAACTCTCACCTTTTTGTTGAAAATCAAACACCCAAACACGACCATGAACGTTCGTCTTGATCGCAGGCTCCTGAAAATGTGTCGTTTAAATCCACTTTGCATTATTTCTTGACTTTTCAGACCAAATTTTTGCTAATGCGTGCAGTGTGTCGCCATGGTAACTGCTTAACATTTCGCCATAGACATCCACGCATTACACCCAGGGTTCCCACGGTCATGGAAATCCTGGAAAAGTCATAAAACATTTTAAATTCAATGAAAGTTTTGGAAAAGTTATGGAATTTTAGTATCTCTTTGACGCAATTACAGCGTTCTGTTAAGCTATTATTAGGCTTTTTTGGACATAAGACCTCATTTCCTAGTGAGCCAGAGAATTGATCAGGCTTTTAGGGCTAAATATGAAATGTTAACTCTTTCCACTCACCTTATGGTTTGGTATTACAGTTTTTTAACATTCAAAATATTGTCAGTGCATTTCTTATCGTCTCTTTTAAAGGGACAGTTTGGAATTTTGGACATTGGCTCACTAGGAATTGAGGTCCTGAGTGTCAGAGACATGTGGAGACACTTTTTTAAATAATCCATCCAGTCCTTGTATTTGCAGAGGTCGCTGGTGCTAGGCTAGTGCATGTCAATGGCCATAGTTATCCTGCCACTAAAAACAGTCTTACCCACTCCACAAAACACCCGAAGCAAATCTATTATTACACCAGACTGTCAATGTGAATGTTTGTGTCGATAGAATAATGTTTGAAATAAAACTAACCTTGCATCGCATGAATTGTCGCATGTTGAGGGACTATTTTCTCATATATCAGTCCGCCGCTGCCAAGTTTTCTAACTTGGCAACTCGCTGCTGCTGCTCAGACATAAATCCTTCAAATGCAAGGTTGGTTTTACTTCTAAAATTATTCTATCAACACAGACGTTTACATCGACAGTCTGGTGTAATAATAGATTTGCTTCGGGTGTTTTGTGGAGTGGGTAAGACTGATTTTAGTGTCAGGATAACTATGGCCATTGACATGCACTAGCCTAGCACCAGCGACCTCTGCAAATACAAGGACTGGATGGAATATTTATAAAAGTGTCTCCACATGTCTCTGACACTCTGGCTCACTAGGAAATGAGGTCCTATGTCCAAAATTCCAAACTGTCCCTTTAAAAAAGTTGACAATAAATGCACTGACAGTATTTTGAATGTTAAAAAACTATAATACCAAACCATAAGGTGATTGGAAAGAGTTAACATTTCATATTTAGCCCTAAAAGTCTGAGCAATTCTACACACGTAGGTGCCGTAAAATCATGGAAATTTCACTTTAGGTCATGAAAAAGTTATGGCAAAGTTATGAAATTTTGACAGTGAAAAAGAGTGGGGACCCTGTACACCTCCAGAATTGATATCACTGCAGTACTATCAGTAGACCACAATGCATTGCAAGAGTCTGAAAAACAACAGCAGACGTCAAGAGGTCTTTAAACGAACACAACATGAATGAATGAAATCAGGTAGAATTGCTTTTTAACACACTGTTGAGAAATTACTCAAGCAAAAGTTCAAAAAAGTAAAAAAGAGAAACAGTTGAAGCGTGCTATCTGCTTTACAATTTTAAGTTAATGTTATTGAAATTTTAAACTGTAGATACAAAAAAACACAAACTAAATCATTTCTGATGGAGCGCTGCAAGAAACACAAATGTTCAAATCATTTCATATTGTCACGTAAAGCTTCTGTGCTGACGTCTTGCTCTGTTTTCAGGAGGTCCGGGCTCAGGGAAGTCCCTTCACAGCGAGAGACTGGAGGAGAGGTTTGGGGTTCGATGCCTGAACGTGGGAGACTTGCTGTGTAACGAGCTACAGAGCCACAGCAGCAGGGGGCGCCACCTCCGGGACGTGCTGGAGAGAGGAGAGCCACTGCCACAGGTATCTGCCTACATCTCAGACGAGGATTAAGAATTCAACCAAGACCTAAAATAGGTCTAGGTCTAAACCAGAAGTAAATCAAGACTAAAGTAGCACCAAACTAGGTCTAAACCAGGACTAAACAAGGACTAAACATGGTCTAAACTAGGATGATATCTCGATTTGAGTGACATCTGCATAGTTGTGGTAGGGCATATTATTGCTGTGTCTTTGGCCTAGAGATAGAACAAAAGGGGTCCCAGGGTTGACCCCTGAGGCACCCCACAAGTGAAGACCATGTGATCTGAGACACGGTTTTGCATTTCAACCAGGGGTGTAATGGGCATGGTATGTGGGGGTACTCCATCCACCCACTTCTCCCGACGTGAGATATAAAAAAAATATATATATATATATAAAATAGCTACAACTGTCCTATAGTGATCTGAGACATGAGGGACCAGGACTAAACCAGAAGTGAACCAGGACTGAACCAGGACTAAAACAGAACTAAAACAGGACTAAAACAGAACTAAAACAGGACGAAAACAGAACTAAAACAGGACGAAAACAGAACTAAAACAGGATTAAATCAGAACTGAACCAGGACTGAGTGTCGGGACGGGCACGGAGGTGTCGGAGGACCGGGCGCAGAGCTCCACACCCCACGGGACTAAGTCCAGCCGTCGCCTGATCGCACGTTGCTTTGCTTTTTTAGACTCTGCTCCATGAGTGCAGGTTTCTCTCTCAAGTCCAAGATTAGTCTTGGTTTAGTCCTGGTTTAGACCTGGTTTAGTCCTGGTTTAGTCCTGGTTCAGTCTTGGTTTAGACCTGGTTTAGTCCTGGTGTAGTTGTGGTGTAGTCCTGTTTTAGTCTTGGTTTTATTCCTGGTTCAGTCCTGGTTTAGTCTTGGTTTAGACCTGGTTTAGTCCTGGTTCAGTCCTGGTTTAGTCCTGGTTCAGTCCTGGTTTAGTCCTGGTTTAGATCTGGTTTCGTTCTGGTTTAGTCCTGGTTCAGTTCTGGTTCATGTGTTGTAGTCTGTGATGCGTTAATGTTAATAACATAATTCCGCATCATTTTGATTTAAAAAAAACATCACAGATTTTTACTGGAATGGCGCTTTTATGTTTATTTGGGGGGATTCATCACATCAATGACGTCACAAATCTCGTACCTCCACTACACCACTGAAAATCCTCTAGTTTTTAGTCCTCTAGCTGTTTTTTTAACACAAAAGTCAGCAGATTTGTTTCTTTTATTAAGTTGTTTTAGCTCAATATTGCGATTTTACATGACCAAATGATAACATAATTCGGTGTCACAGATTATAACTCTGGAGCAGAAACAAGCAGAATACGTCTTCTCTGAGTCGTCTAACCTGTCATCTGCTCTTTAAATAATTCTCTGTAACATATGTAAATGTTTTCTTTTGCCTGTCTGTCTGTTGCGGTGCTCTATAGGTTCAGCTTCACTCCTGTAGCTCTAATTAGTCCCCGGGTCAGAGCAGATCAAAGCGTGACCACATGTGAGCCGTGCCGCATGCGTTCAATCATCCAGCTCATTAAACCCTTGATTTAATCCATTAAACTGGGTCTCTGTGATATAAATATGTTATAAGTGACAGACAGAGGTTCATAACTACTCATTCGCCCAGGAGTGACTGAGTGTAGTGAAGGTTTCATCTTCGGTCATCTGCACTGCTGTTTGAAGCATTTACATTTCATCGTACTGGGTGGAGGCATTAATTTTTATATTATTTTCTGCTCAGACAAAGCTATTTAAAGGTTGTATGGAGGATTTTTTTTGTTTCAAGTTGTCAATGATAGATTATAGAGGTGCAGTCGCCTTGTAATTATGATGACCAAAAAAAAGAGAATAAAAATTCATCAACTCTGGACGTGGTGGGGCTAAACATTTGCCAATAGATAACGACACTGCCTCGTTATCTGTGAGCTGACAGGCTGTCAATCAATCTCCCTACGTTTCTAGCGTAACTGACTTGCCTGCGCGCCGCCGGTACGTGGTTTACGTACGCCTGTCACGCAGTCCACAGACGCAAGACGCACAGACGCTGTTTACTCCACCAACGCAACAGTTCTTAGCGGCTTTTTTGACCTATATCTTCCTCGCAGTTCGCACAAAGTTTGTTGCAATGGCGACAAGAATCCAGGAGCAGTTAGCCGCAAAACAAAGTCCGTTTTTGAGGTCGCTGAAAGAAGAAGACAAGGGGAAAAGCAGCGAAGCCAAACTAAGGTGATTCTTGAAGATTCATTCCAGCGATGGCGCGACTGAAGCAGACGCAGGGTCTAAAGACTGACGCATTGGTCGCCAAATTACTCCTGGACAGGAAACTTCTGCTTATTATGAAAACGTACTTTATTTCCAAGAGCTGGACAAACGTTTTTCAAGACACGAATGTGATATCCTATGTCTGAAAACGTAATTTTCAAGGCAGTCAAAGATTACCTTTTTGGTCCTTCCTGTGGATCAATCCTGCCCATCACCTTCACCTTTCACTATTTTTCAATTCCGTTGGGAAGAGAAACAGTTTGAACAGAGGTTTGCAGTCACACACATCTGATTCCCTTTTGCATTTATATAGTTCGCAAACAAATTTCTCGAGTCGTTTTCCGCTGTTAGGATCCAACAACCACACAATTAACGATGTCCGAATCCCAAAACTAAAATATGACAATATCAGAATCAGAAACAAAAGTGATATGGTTCAAAAGACTTGAAAAGATCGGCTTTGTCAGTAGACGCATCCCACTGGGAAAACAAACATGGCGGTTTGATTTTCACTTTTTCAGAAAATCCTTCCCAGTATGCATTGCGCGATGACCGGAAGTCCTGAGATTCTTGGTGCGTGTATTGATTCCACGTTTAAAGCTTGTGGTTTTAAAGGAAGGGGGTGAAATCTAGCTCTCCACTGAGTCCTGGAAAGTGGGTGGCCTTGAGAGTGCAGATCCAGTAGGACTCTCTGTGTAATAGTTTTTTCAGTCTATCTCCTCTTCTTATTGTTTCTTTAATATGTTCAATTGCACAAACATTTAGGCTTTTACAGCTACCATGGTTGGCTTCTTTGTAATGCACGGCCATAGGATACAGGGGGTTACAGGTCCTTATAGCCTGTTTGTGTTCAGCCAGTCTGTAAAAACGACCACATGGGCATTCAAGTCTGTATACTACATAAGTGGTGTTACAGTTAATAAATGTCCTAATATCAAAACTTTGACCTGATATAATGTCTATGAACGAGTTAGTCTGGCTCAGGGGTGGGGAAACTTTTTGGCTCACGGGCCACATAGGGTCCTAAAATTTGACTGAAGGGCCGGACAGGAGACAGGACATGACGTGTTAAAAGCCCGGCTCCATTGCACTCGTATTTACGCTCATGCAGGACGTTTTCTGCACTACGCACTACAACTTTAACGCGTAAGTTACAAACACATGAAAAGTGAATAGATCTGCTCCACTGCACACCACAGGCGAGCGTAAGTCCTGAGCAGTTAGATCTTACTGAGAAACAGAGCCCACAATACAAGATTACACGCGTAAACACCTATGCATGCATTTGTAACATTCACTTTGCTTTTAATTCAAAATGGAAACAGTGCAGTCTTATGTCTTGAACACTTCTACTTCACTCATGGTCTGAATACGCCGCCCGAAAATGACTCCTGTAAGAACACTTTCCCATAAAGCATTGCGGCCAACATAATACGCCGCACCTCAGTGTACATATAGTGCGCCGTCTACTGGGAAATGCCGGAAAAATTAAACATCAACAAGGTTTATTAGTGTAATTTATTCAAGTTCAGCGGGCCGCATATGGCCCCCGTGCCGTAGTTTGCCCACCCCTGGGCTGGCTGCTACAAATGTGGTAACTGTACCTATTGTGAACACGTACAACAGACTTAGTGTCCAGCCATGTCTTTTGTTTCAGTGGAGGGAGATAACTGTTCACCAGTCTATCACTGAGCGTAGGGGTTTTTCTAAAGCTGATGGTAGGAGTCTCCGGGCGAGCGTCTCTTAGGCTGCGGTCACGTCTTAATATCCTCCAGGCTGACGACACAGTGCTATTTGTGTAGCCTGTGTTTTTAAATCTACAGCTCATATGTACTTTTTGAGTGCCTCAGTTTTTTCTACTTTGTATTTGAGACTGGTCCCTACACAGAAGAGCACCAAAAGGACAATTCTGCAAAATTTTTGTATATCCAAGTAGCACCCCCCCAAGTTTTGCAAAGAAACAAAATATCTGAACTAAACATTTATTGTACGTTTATTTTATTAAGGAAAAGCCCCTTGAGGTGAGTCAGGGGATCCTTATCATCCAAAGAATACAACAAGTCGCAAAAATACAAACAAGCAAAACAAAACAATACAAAAACAAAACAATATATCTAATAAACAGAAACACAAAACGATAAGACAAAATACATAGACACAGACATTAAACATAAACATAGAGAAACATTAATATAACAACCAAACAGATCCCTCACTAAAAGCAGTCACATTGTGTTTTAAGATGAATGAATAAGTCTTTCTTAAAGATATGGAATGATGATGTGGAGCACAGAGAGTTTGACAAATTATTCCACTCTGATGGTGCTTTGACGCTGAACGCTCTTCGTCCAATGACTCTGGAGGTCCGAGGTACTACAAAGGAAGGATGGTCTAATTGTCTGAGAGAGTATGGTGATGAAAATGGAACTATTGGAAGTATTGTTGAAGGTAAGATGGACAGAACAGAAAAATGCATTTAAAGATGAACTGAAACCAGTGAAAGCGCATTCTTGCATTAGGAGGTAACCAATCCAGAGTTTCATACAGAATACAATGGTGAGTGAGATATGGACATTGCAAGATGAATCTACACAAACTGTTGAAGGTGACATACAGAGGACGTAGGTGACAGTCAGATGTATTTTGATAGATAATATCAGCATAGTCAATTATGGGTAATACAAGTTGTGTAATTATTTTTTTCCTTACCGGTAGGGTGTAGTGCAGGGGTG